TTTGTTCTTCAGTCTAGTTGTGGAGGACGTTGCTTCACTGGCCCATGTTGGTATTATCATTGCGCTCTTCCCGGGTGAGGCAGATCAGTCACCGGTCACTGGATGGCCGCTTACAGCAGCTCTTGGCATTTCACGCTGGCTGCCAACCACACACAGTAGCTTATGGCAGCCCACTGCAGCAAGGGGCTGCAGCCTACGCCGTCGCTGGCGACTCGCAGCAGCCCAGCTCCAGGTTGAGCTGTGGTCACCATCTTAGCTGTAGAGGGCAGTGTCACTGGCCCCCATGTGGGATCCGAACTTGGGCCCTGCTGCTCAGAGCTGGCATCCCAAGCCAGCTCTTAATCAACTGCACCACTCGGCTGGCCTAGGTTTTCTTGTCTTTTTTATTTTTCATTCCAAAAGCTTTATTCAGCCAAGCCTGGCAACTGCCTCACTCTGTAAGAAAACAGCCCCGAGGTCTTGGTGAGTGGAAGTTTTATAGGGGCTTGACTTCCGGGAGTTTGAGCATAAGCAAATGTACAGAAGCAAAAAAGCAGTTAGTTCTTGTAAAATGTCCTGAGCTAGGTGTGAAAATGAGTTATCAGTAAAATAATCTATTGTTGTAACCTAATTCTTGCAAAGAAGAGCTTTTACTGTTAGTTATAACTGCATCCTGGCAACTTTAACAGGGGGTTCTGCTATGCTCAGTTGGAGTATGACTTTTTCTTATTCCTTAGGGTGGGGTTATCTCTAAGATGAGCCTGTCTGGCCTAAGGTATAGCTTGTCTGGCCTAGGGTCTGGGCCTGGGTCCTCACAATACCAGTTAAGCAACAGCTTAATAAAGGCTTAATTGATATAGAATTCATTATGAAATTAGTTTTTCATTTATACATTATAATTTCATTGGGCATTAACTCCAAAACTATAGGTTACAAATGCAGATGACTTTTGACAATTAAATGACAAATTTTAATACATATTTTGCACAGTAAAAACGATTCTATTTATTTTGCCATTAAAAGTTCTCTTGTTTAAGAAATTTTCTACACATTAAGTAAAAACATTGTTAACTAACATATGAATACTTCCAATGTTAAGATAATTGGGTATTACCTAGCATTGAATTTTTGCAACTACAAATCTTATAAATTCAAAATTGAGACTCAAACCCATGGTATAAAAGCTATTAGTTTGGAAATGCTTTTTGATGGTTGCAACATCAAATGATGAAAAGAGTGTTATCAAACAGTATAAAAATACATACAGCTACACAATATGGAAATAGCTTCTTTTCTTGACTTGAAATGTAGATTTGTGTCTTCCTTAAATTTTACAAAAAATCTCAAGAACATTCAGATAACTGGAACATACAGACACTCTAAACAGACTGGTTGGAACTAGGACTTATCACAGCCCATGATGATAAAGCAATTTATTCAAAATATCCACTACCTAAAAAGCATTTATTTTATTAATGCATATTTTCTTTCTTCTCTTCTATTGTTTTTTTTTTTAAGATTTTTATTGGGGAATTGGGGGGATGGGAACAGTGCTGGGGAATTGGGGAAAGGGGAACAGACAAGTTGCTGTCATATTGTTCTTCAGTCTAGTTGTGGAGGACCTTGCTTCACTGGCCCAAGTTGGCACCATCATTGCGCTCTTCCCAGGCAAGGCAGATCAGTCACCAGCTTCTGGACGGCCGCTCACTGTGGCTGCTGGCCGCTCACGCTGGCTGCTGGCTACATATGGTAGCCCATGGCAACCCACTGCCACAGGGGCTGCAGCCTACACCGTCGCCAGCGACTCATGGCAGCCCANCTGCTGGCTACATATGGTAGCCCATGGCAACCCACTGCCACAGGGGCTGCAGCCTACACCGTCGCCAGCGACTCATGGCAGCCCAGCTCCAGGTTAAGCTGTTGTTCAGCATCTTAGCTGTGAAGGGCAGTGTCACTGGCCCTCATATGTGGGATCCGAACCGGGGCCCTCTGATGTCCCAATCCAATTCTTAACCATCGCACCACTCGGCCGGCCCTCTTCTATTGTTTTAATAGCAGATATTGTGGTCTTTTATCCGTAAGTTCCGTTACATCAAAACAATAAAGTGTTAACATTTAACTTAAGATAACTAAGCATCATTAGTTTTTAAAGAAATATAATAAATATTTTAAGAATTAAAATAAACCAGTGTGTCTTAACAAACTGTATTCATGCTTAATGAAGTCTTCTTAACAGTTGATGGCCAAAATCCAAACTGTAGAATACTCAGAAACTCTGACTTCAATTTATATATCATCAATGTCGTCATCATCATCTCCGATATTATCAAACTGGATTTCATCATCATCTCCAGGACCAAATGTATCTGTTTCATTGATTTTAGCGTGTTCTGGAAGCTCGCCATATGCCTTCAGACTTCTAGCTTCATCTGCATTATACTTTAAAATTACATCAGCTTTGTTATCCTGATAGTCTTGCAAGCCAACCAATATAATGTCTGAGGTATTTATCCAAACCTTTTTTCTCAATTTTCCTCTGATATGACATAATCTCTTTACACCATCAAAGCACATTGCTTCTAATCGTCCATTTCCCAACATTTTGATTACTTGAGCATACTCTTGTCCATCCTCTTTAAAGACTAATTCTCTTTTTTCAGATTCATTCTCATTCTTACCTCTATGCCTGTTTTTACCTCCTTTACCTTTATTCTTGGGCATGTCTATGAAAGTCGCCTCCTGGCGTTTCCGATTCTTCTCTGGTGATGCCCGTACAACAGCGACTACTCCCTGGAGCCCGTGAAACCAAGCACTTTCAGGTTGCGTGTGCGGACAGTATTACTACTCCACCCAGGGGATCTGCAACAAGCTAATCGGTTTTCTTGTCTTTAAAATGAGGATAATAAGACCTGCCTCCAAGGGTTTTTACAAGGATTAAAAACGATGATACAGGGCCGGCCGAGTGGCGCGATGGTTAAGAACTGGCTTGGAATGCCAGAGGGCCCCGGTTCAGATCCCACATATGTGGGCCAGTGACACTGCCCTCCACAGCTAAGATGCTGAACAACAGCTCAACCTGGAGCTGGGCTGCCGTGAGTCGCCAGCGACGGCGTAGGCTGTNAAGATATTTACATTACGATTCATAACAGTAGCAAAATTACAGTTATAGAGTAGCAACGAAAATAATTTTATGGTTGGGGGTCGCCACAACATGAGGAACTGTATTAAGGGGTCGCGGCATTAGGAAGGTTGAGAACCGCTGATCTAGAGCGTTCTATAGTCCACACCCCAAGGGTTGGCGCTCTAGATGCTAGACTAAATGGTCCAGCCATGGGTTAGGGAATTGCTTGTTGTCTGATGCCAGTTTCCGAAAGAGTTACAAAACCCCACCTCTAGTTCACTGACCGCAAGGTGTGGTGCACACTGAATCAAAAGCTAATGGCAGGGCTCAGCCATCTGTGCCTTCACAAGCCCACCAATTTCAAGTTTGAGACCCACTATCTAGAACGTTCTCCTGCCTTCCTCCAATGGACCTTTCATTTAGGGAGTAGCTGCAGTATTTAAGTGGGCAGAGAGCTGGAACTTCATCAGCTTCCAGAGCAGGCTGCATGGACTGTCTCATGCTTACTTGCTAATGAATGCAAGTCTTCATGGCAGATTTTGGTCTGAGGCTTGCTTTTGTAATAACGTGATGGTGAGGTTGTGGGGGAGTAGTTAATCCGCAATTACTTCAAGTAATGCCCATGGCTACCACTGTCTGCTAAAAGAACTTGAGAGTTCTGCAGGGATAAATCAGCACAGATCCATTTCCCATCCTGCTCTCCATCCATTACATACATAAGTACAGGAGCCCCCCCCTTATCTGGGGGGATATGTTCCAAAACCCCCAATGAATGCCTGAAATCGCAGGTAGTACTGAGCTCTATATATACTATGTTTTTTCCTATACATATATACCTCTGATAAAGTTTAATTTATAAATTAGGCACAGTAAGAGATTAACAACAATAACTAATAATAAATAGAACAATTATAACAATATCCTGTAATAAAAATTATGGGAATGTAGTGCCTCTCTCTCTCTAACTCATGTGATAAACTAGACGGCTGCTAAGTGACTCATGGGTAGGGCGCATACAGAGCTTGGATACACTTCACAAAGGGATGATTCACATCCTGAGAGGGGACAGAGAGGGACAGTGCGAGATTTCATCACGTTACTCAGAATGGTATGCAATTTAAAACTTATCAATTGTTTATTCCTGGAATTTTCTATTTAATATTTTTGGACCGCAACTGACCTCAGGTAACTGAAACTGTGGGAAGCGAAACCTCAGATAAAGGTTTGCGGGGAGGGGGGGTGCGGCCTATGGAAACACATTGTCACTTCAGAAAAATTAGAAAATACAGATAAGCAAGAGGGAAAAAAATTTCAAAAATCCATTAACATTTGGTATACTTATTCCACTCCTAAGCTTATCTGAGCTTGTGTACACTCCTCCTCCATACACATATGCCCATTTAAAATATACAGGTATTTATATCCTGGTTCTATTATTTTACATAGATATTCTCCTACCTGGGTTCCACAATTTAACAGATGTCTGACATTGGGCGATGTCTTAGCTTAGGCTCCCCCCCCACCCCACCCAAATAGAGCCTGAGACTTATGTTTATATACAGATAATTTATTTTGGAATATAATTCTAGAGAATAGGAATGGGGGCCTAGGATGAGTAAATTGGGGAAGGAAGAAAAGCCAATCAAAGGCGGGGACTTAATTAGTAATTGCTGTGGCTTACACTGGGGACCCTCCAAGGAACCATGTAGAATGCATTTAGGATTGTATAACGAAGTTTTCTGCATCAGCTCTAGCTACCTGTTAGACAAGGGTTGCCCCAGATACTTCCTTGCACTCTGAGATCTATGCAGGTGGAATGGGCTCCCACAGACGTCCCACAGAACAGTGGCAGAGAAGCCTCAGGGCGAAAGCAAGAGATAAGGGACTGCTAAGGTGACACAGCCATGCTGCTGCTGTGCAGGGCAAACGCCACAGCAAAGTCAGATCTAAAATGTGTGCCGAGAAGTTAAAGTGAGGGCAAAAAAGATGCTCCAGGAACGTTACTTAACTTTCTGATGTTTTGGTTTTCTTGTCTTTATTTATGTATTTTACCTGAGCCATCCTGCCACCTGTTGGCAGCTCAGCGGCAGCTCAGCTTGGGCTGGGAATCAAACCGCTAGCTCTCAGAGCTCGCACTCTTGAGTGAGCTCTTAAGGTTTTCTTGTCTTTTTCTTTTTTAAAGATTTTATTGGGGAATTGGGGGAGGGGAACAGTGCTGGGAATTTGGGGAAGGGGAACAGACAAGTTGCTGTTGTTTTGTTCTTCAGTCTAGTTGTGGAGGACGTTGCTTCACTGGCCCATGTTGGTATTATCATTGC